CCAGACTTCCCAACACAGGATCTCTGGGAGGAGGAGCACAAGAATGTGCATTTTTGATTACCTGGGTGATGCTTATGCACCGTAAAGTTGGAGAACTAACGTCCCAGAGGCTTAGCCCCAAGAACTGTATCTACAGGTGACGCATGAGAAAAAAAAACTAACCAAGATATCCAAACCATCAGTTGGCAGGGCACCTAGCAGGAAAACTGAAAGGAAGATGTCGTCAACCCACAACGGATGACTCACATGATTCAGGAATACTTCAAGTCTTTTTCACTTGATTCAGTTTTACCACTTTTTCATTCCTCCTGGTCCCTCTCTACTCAGTTGTTAGAAAGCATGCCACAGTACTGCATAAGGCACAGGGGGTAAAAGAGTCCTCCCAACAGCAGCAAACCCTCTTTTAGTAATAGAATCATTTCAAGGTGATCATGCTCTATGTCCCTGGTCTTGTATCTGATCAACTGTGGAGACAATCAAACACCAACAGGAAACACTGCTTCTTGGCCTTAGGAAGGGACTGTATTTTTGGCAGAATGTAGGGTGAGATGCAAGGCAGCCACCAAGCAAACATCTGCTTTCCAGAAGATAGGGCTGTTCTCAGTATCAGAAGCTGCGAAAGTCTACAGGATTTGTTCCAAGGCCCAGAGCTCCGAAGGAATGCTGCTTAAAGGGATGGCACAATATACATTAAAAACACAAGATCGGGAAGCTGAGGCAGACACTGCTCTTGATTTACAAGAAAAGAAGGTCCATTAGGTTTGAATTAATGCAACGGACCCTCCAATCTCTATTTGCAGAATCGTGTAATGGTTAAAGGTTTTAGAGTTGGGAAGACATGAGCTGAAATCTGGGCTCTGCCACTTGCATGCTATGGGGAGATCTGGGGAGGCCTGTCTCTGAGACAAGATTCATGTGTGAAGTGAGGGCCATGATACCTACCTCGTGGGGTCATCCTGAGATAATGTACGTAAAGCACTTAGCACAGGGCCCAGCATGTAGTAACTGCTAGGAGATCACAGACATATTGTTCTTATTTTCATTCCTCTGTCACGAGGATTTATTCTATTAAATATTTCTAAACAATTTCCAAGCTAAAAGACTTTAATGGGTCGTCTTTACATCTTGTACTTCTTAATACTTAATAAGTCCAAAATTTCAACAGATGTAATTTGTATTTTAAAACAAATCCATCAAAATTAAGTGCTTATCGTATATTATAGTCAGAGGTATCCTTCTTTGTGTGAGAGACACAAGGAAGGATAAGGTATGGTTCCTACCCTGAAAGAACTTAGAGTCTATTTGAGAAGACAAGATATATCTATATAAAGCTACCTGAAAATAATGACAGAGTAGGTGACATGTGACAGTATAAACATAACAGGAGAGAAGAGAGAAATCAGGGCAGCAGAAACAGACCAGGTCTGGTGGAAGTGGAGAGGTACCAGAGAGGAAGGAAGGGGCTGAGTAGGGTTGGCAAAGCTGAGGGGGTGGGGAACTGTCAGTATGGGAATCAGCATGAGAAAAAGCACAGAACTGGGGGAAAAGGTGGTGAGGGGAGACCGTGACTAGATTAACAGGAAATCACACTGGTTCTAGAAAGGGTGAGATCCACTGTGGAAGAGCTAGGAAGCTGGAGGGAAGGGGCAAGTTTGTACATGATGTGGTATATAACAGAGTACTATTGTGGGTTCTTATAATGATGAAATGTGGACAGGATTTTATAAATACCTGACAGTGGAGTAGATTGGCACTCATTATATTAATTGCCTTTTAGAACACATGCACGACTGACACAGCCTTAGAAAGACTATGACAACTGGAATAACAACTAGATAGTGACACGACGCCCTAACTGTGAACTTTACAGAGCTCCAGACAACCTGGGGTAAGAAGAAAAGACTGAAGTAAAATCTAGATTGAGTCTACTAAAGTGAAGATTAATCTATTTTCCGTCACTCTTATCTTCTTGTTCTGTAGGTGGTTTTGTACAACAGCATGACAGCGGACCAGTGAAGGAAGACTGCTTTCTGGAGAGATGAGAAGCAAGGAGTGTTCATTAGGTGCTCACAAACATCTGACAGTGAGAAGGAGGAAAGCTGGAAAAGTAAGTAGGACAAACAAAAGGGTTGTTATTAAAAAAGAGGAGAGGGCTTCCCTGGTGGCGCAGTGGTTGAGAGTCCGCCTGCCGATGCAGGGGACACGGGTTCGTGCCCCGGTCCGGGAAGATCCCACATGCCGCGGAGCGGCTGGGCCCATGAGCCATGGCCGCTGAGCCTGCGCGTCCGTAGCCTGTGCTCCACAACGGGAGAGGCCACGACAGTGAGAGGCCCGCGTACCGCAAAAAAAACAAAACAAACAAACAAACAAAAAAAACAAAAAGAGGAGAGGCTTGCTGTGTTTATAAAGGAATCTGAAGTACTGGGAAAAACTCAACGTGCAGGAGAAGTGGCAATGAATGCAACAAGATTTCTCAGATGCTGAAAGGGAATAGGACGTAGGGTGGTGGTGACGTGTTTTTAGCTTTTTACAATAAAAATTTTCAAACATACCTAAAATTAGAGATGGGCACCTCCCACGTGACCATCACCCAGCCTCAACAGTTATCAATGTTTTGCTGGTTTTTTAAAGAAACCTTTGTTTTAGTCTACTGATTCTTCCAGCACACAGTAGAAAATATGAAAATGCATCATCATACATTTTTTGTTTCATTTTGTCTCATTTATCTATAGATATATATATGTATACTGGAGATGCAATGCAAATTGTATTTTTTACTGAGGGTGGCATCAAGAAGTCTGAAAGCCAGTCACGTGGAGCAGTTCTTCTCAGACTTTATTTTTTATTATTATTTTTTTTTGCGGTACGCGGGCCTCTAACTGTTGTAGCCTCTCCCGTTGTGGAGCACAGGCTCCGGACGCACAGGCTCAGCGGCCATGGCTCATGGGCCCAGCCACTCCGCGGCATGTGGGATCTTCCCGGAACGGGGCACGAACCTGCGTCCCCTGCATCAGCAGGCGGACTCTCAACCACTGAGCCACCAGGGAAGCCCTCAGACTTTATTTTGCAAACAAATTGTCTGGGGCCCGAGATTTGGCATTTCTATCCACCTCTCACTTGCTGCTAATCCTTGAACCTCACTTTGAGTGGCACTGATCTAGAGGACTGGTTGCAGCACTAGTTTTAGTATTTCTCTGGGGTCCTGGGAGAAGGGACAAGAGAAGAGCGGTAGACTCTGCAATAACAGAGTGAGGTGAAGGGGCATGCAGGGTCAGACTAAGAAACTAAGAATAAATCATCTCAGTTTCTTCTGTGAGATAAGGTCATTGAAGAAGAGACTGAACAGGGATAAAGACAGAGGGAAGTTTAACGACAGGTCAATGAAAGAAGTAATGAAATAGATTTGATTACCTTTGGTGCCAGGAAGATTACATGCAACAGCCACCTTCTTATGCTGAAAGTCCTTTAATTTCACAGTATTATCTGTAAGTAGATATCTTTTAGCTAAAAATCAGAGAAAAGAAAGTAAAATCATTTTGACTGTTTTATACTTAGCAAATAACGTGTAGAGCTTGACTATCTCTTTCTAGTAACTGATCTTATCTTCAGTTAGTATAAATAACCCACCTAGACAGGTACAAATAGAATAGTCACCCTGGTGGGGAAAAAAATGTCCAAAGTACCAAAGAATGCAAATCCTCCACAAGACAAGTTTTGTCTGTGTGTGTGTGTGTGAAAGGAGCTAGTGATTAACTGCGTATGGGGATGGGTAGACAGGAATTTGGGATCTGAAAGACAGACAGCAAAACAGGTATATCTAGATTTGGTTTAAACAGGTAGAAGCATATAGGGTAGGGGAAAAAGCTATAGTGTGACCATTGGAATTTCCAGGACTGTTGACAGTTTGTGAAATGAGGCGTTATGGCCTCTCAGATTTGGACTCTTGGTATCCTCTAGATACATCAGGAATCACTGACCACAACTTAGCAGAAATGATCAGTTGAGGAAACATCATTTCTTTAGGATGCTCGGCTGTGCATGAACTGGAGCTTGGCCAAAGAACCATCCACTACAAGAGCTCTGTGTACTACAGTAACAATGTAACAACAAAAATTGCTGATTTCTAGAGAGGCAGTCCAGAGAAGGGGTTACAGTAGGACTGCCTGTGTTCAAACCCTTCCTCTACCAGTTCCCTCTAACCTTGGGCAAATTACTTAGCTTTGCGTTTTCCTCCTCTGTAAAAGAAGAATAGTACCTCTCTCACTGGGTGATGTGAGGAGAAAAGGAATGAATGTATGTAAAATGTATTACAGGAAAGCCTGACACGAAATGTTAAATATTATCACTCACCAGCATCTTCAAATTTAATCATTTTCAAAAAGATATTAAGGGATAATTTTACAAATAAAGAAACCTGCTCAGAGTCTTTCAGACTGTTCGCTACAGAGCTGGACTCCAAACTCATAGTCTTTGACCTCCCCTCCCAAACTCTGCAGGACAGTACACCCAAGGGGGAGGAGGTGTTCCCGGGGCGCAGCACAGCTCCATCCGAGGGAATACTACAGTCCCCAGGTCAAGAGCCCAGCCCATCTGTCCTTTGATTCCCAGGCACACGGGCGTCCACGACATCCAGAGGCCACCACTGTACCCACGTGCAGAGGGCAAGTGCATGCTCGATTGCTCTAGGCCCCTGAGTGAGGCGCCGTTATTTCTCCAAAGAGATGCCCGCTGAGGTGTAAAGCTCCCTTCTGTCCCGTCCCTCCCCTCCTTCACGGCCCGAGGCCTAGGATACCTCCGAGAGGGCAGCGGCTGCAGGTGGAGCCCAAGCCTCCCAACCCTGGATGCACCAAACTCCGCAACGCCTGCAGCGGTAAGACTTGCTTCAGGGGCAGAAAGGCGGCCGCCATACTGTCCCGGGCTGTACCAACTGCGGGAGCCGGGGGAGGGGAGCGTGGACTGTTGCCTAGCCCTTCCTCCGCCCGCAGTCCCCCTACCGGTCATTCCTTTGGTATGCTCCAAGATGGCGGTCCACGTGGTGCGGCGCGGGGTCCTCTGGGCGCGGAAAGTGTCGCTGCCTCAGCTCTCCGTGACAGGTTGGTGGCTGCTACCTTCGTGGGGCTGCTTCATTAGGCCCCTGAGAACTCTGTTCCTTGAGTAAAGGGAGCAGGGGGCTTTTAAGGGGAGAGGAAATGCTTCTGGGATCTAGTTGCTGGAGAAACCCATGGAGGTGTTTGGTAGCACAGAGAGGGGAGGTAAGGTCTATGACCCATCTCCTTCCCTAAAATAATAGTGTCTGCCTATCCAAAGGTGTGAAGAGCAGAGGAAGTCCGGGCATGAGAGCTTTTGCGTATGATTTGCCGGGTTTGTGTGTGAGGGTGGTCATCTCTTTGCTGCCCGTGAAAAGCCCAAATGTGTCCCCCCTGGGGCTATGAAATTTCTCTCCCTGTTGAGTTTCCTTAGAGGGGCGTCATAAACGTTCTCCTCAACACCTGACGTGTGGCCAGACCCTTGGTTTTCACTTGGTGAAGGAATTTCTTACTAATCTCAGTTTACCTGATGACCTTGGGCGCAACTTTTGATTGACTTTTCTTTGCCCAAGTTTTCCGTTCAGACAATAAATGCTAATAGTTACTTTTAAAGTACTTTGATACCCGAATGAATGACGGCTCACTCAAATCCTGTTTACAGGACCTGCTGATGAAGACATTGGGAAAAACTTTTTTAATTCACAGAAGCTAAATCCTGACAGATGTATCTGATTATATCATTAAAATACAATAATCACAATTGATTTTTCCAATGCCTATTATCGCCTCTTTCCAACATACCTCCTCTAGCCCCTGTTAAAAAGCAACACATACAGTTTTGCCCACACGCCTTTAAATATCAACGTGAAACCTTATAGCTGGCCACCAGAAGTTTTCTGAGAATTAACTGATTGACCTAGCTAATGAAAATGTTTCATGCCACACATTAGGTAAAGTGGTCTGCACAGTACTTGGCACCTCAGTAAGAATTAACTGTTGTAGCTATTTACTAGCTTGTTTACTTATGTTGTTAGTAAATGCTTTTCAATTTAAACAAGACCTTGGATTGTCTATCAGGGAAAGTATCATAGTTGCTTAGGATATTCGGGGGCAGTCATACTAACGGGAATGGAAATTAGATAAAGGTGAATTGAGAGAATTTCCAGTGAGCATTTTGATCATAGTTTGAAATGGTGTGCTCATGATAGGTTACACCTGTGCTGTTCCATGGACGTAGCCGGGAGCTACACATGGCTATTTAAATTAGTTTAAATTAAAAAATCCTGTTCTTTAGTCACATTAGCTACATTTTAAGTGCTCAGTAGACACCTGTGGCTAGTGGCTGCTGTATTGAATAGTTCAGAATTGAACATCTCCTTCATTACAGAAAGTTATATTGCACAAGCAGGGGGTTAGACCACAGATGAAAGGAGTCTTGAAATCAGGAACTGAAGTGTATAAGGCAAGTGATATAAGTATGTAGGATAGTACATTATGGACCACTGGGGGTTTGATAAGGAGCTTTAAGTCATCAAAACATCTTGAACCATTACCAAATAAAAGAAGAAAAAATTTGTACAAACTGAGGACCAATCAGTATTTGGAATACTTCAGTGCTTCCACTGATTCTCCCTACAACATAATGGATAAGGGCAACTAAAGTGATCAAGAGGATGAGAGAAAGGTTTATTGAGATGAACTGAAAAAGTGACTTCAGTATATGAAGAGGCTAGAGAGGGAAACTTTTTGGGCACTTACTACATAGTGGACATTAGGCTAGGTACTTAATATATGCCCTTATTTAAATTATGATACAGTATTTCCCTGTTTTACATATGAAGAAAGAGGCTCAGAGACCTGGTGTAACTTGCCCATATTTTTATAAAATTTTTTATAGCAAAGCTAGGATTCACACTTAGACTTTGTGACTCTAAAGCCTATCTGTGTTCACAATCACACTGCTTCCCTTTGGATGGAGAACATGTTTGGAGACATTTTACCAAAGGCCAAATTAACTATAAAATAAGTAAGTTTTTAATAAATAAGTATTTACTAAACTTTGAAATTCTGGTCCATGGAGGTATCTTTTCAGAATTAAGCAGGGGAGAGAGATATTTGCTTTTTAGTGGAGAGTTATCTTAGAATATTGTTGCTCTTAAAGTTGACTGGCTGAAGGGTTAGCAGGTTCAAGAAGGGTATATATATGCTCTTGGGTGGCATATACGGAGTGGGATTAAACGGACTCAGAGATCTAAACTTGTGAGGCTGATAACCTCCTATTCCCTCGTTATTTCAATGTTATCTGAGGGTCAACATCGTCATCATTACCTGGGAACTTTTAGAAATGCAGAATCTCTGTTCCCACCCCAGACCTACTGATCAGAATCTGCATTTTATCAAGATTCATATGGACATTAGGTTTGAGAAGGTGATCTAGATTTTCCATTTTGCCATTGTCCACTTAATGTCCTGTCTGGCTTCATAGAAATTCTTTGGTTTTAACGTTAATATACAGACCCCTCAACTACCATACAGAGATGGGAAAAACTTTAAATGATGTCATTTAAAAGTATCTCAGCAAGATGAATACCCTACTTTAAAAGGTTTACAGATAATGAAATGTCTGTCTATCTGAAGGTGTAGTAATTTCCTGTTGCTGCTGTAACAAACTACCACAAATTTGGTGGCTTAAAGCAACGTAGATTTATTACCTTACTATTCTATAGGTCAGAAGTCTGATACAGAGTCTTTTTGTGCTAAAGTCAAGGTGTTGAAAGGGGTGTATTCCCTTTAGGAATCTCTAGGGGTGAATCTGTTTCCCTAGTCTTTTCCATCTTCTGGAGACCACCTGCATTCTTTGACTCATCGTCCCTTTCTCAGACATCTTCAAAGCGAGCAGTGGCAAGTCAGGTCCTTCTTATATACCTCTGTCTTTCATGCATCACACTAACAACCTGTCTCCCTCTTCCACTTTTTAAGGACCTGTGATTATATTGAGCCCACCTGGACTTCCCTGGCAGTCCAGTCATTAAGACTCTGCGCTTCCAGTGCAGGGGGCTTGGGTTTGATCCCTGGTTTGATCCCACATGCTGTGCAGTGTGGCCAAACAAACAAACCCTGAGCCCACCTGGACAACCCAGGACAGTCTTCTCATTTTAAGGTCAGCTGATGTGCTAATCTTAGTTCCATCTGTCACCTTAATCCCCCTTTCTCATGTACCCTAATATTCACAGGTTCTGGGGACTAGGACATGGACATCTTTTGGGGGGGACATTATTCTGCCTACCCCACTTGGTAACTCATTCCTATGTTTGTCATTGGTTTCTATTAGGAAGATTTTCCACTTGCCAAATTTAAATTCTTTATCCTTATACCTATTTCCTTTCACTGTATCCTCAATGGAGGTGGAAAATGATTACTGGTTACTTTTTTTTTTTTGCGGTACGCGGGCCTCTCACTGTTGTGGCCTCTCCCGTTGCGGAGCACAGGCTCCGGACGCGCAGGCTCAGCGGCCATGGCTCACGGGCCCAGCCGCTCCGCGGCATGTGGGATCTTCCCGGACCAGGACACGAACCCGTGTCCCCTGCATCGGCAGGCGGACTCTCAACCACTGCGCCACCAGGGAAGCCCTGGTTACTTTCTTATAAAGCAAACATTTAAAAGTTCATATATATATGAAAGTTACTGGGCTTATTTTTTGTAAATTTACTAGTTCTAATTTTGTTTTCGGTCATGTGATCTCCTTGAACAACTGCACACAGCATTCTGGCACTCCTGTCTTTCCCCACCATCACCTCCTCTGCTTTTTGTCTCCCAGTTCAAAACTCATGAACATAATTCTAGATAATTGTCTTTTCTGACTTTAGAACAAGGAGGGCTGATTTCTTATGCTAGAATAAAACATATGCTAGGAGAAGAAATAGAGAATAAGTAAGAGAATGTAATAACAACAAATAGAGAATATTTAAGTCACTGGTATCCTGGAGTATATAGGTTAACAGCCCTCTCCTGAGCTCATGCTCACGTAGAAAAGGGCTGCCCTTGTTTCCCACAGAAAGGAGAGATCTACCTGGTTTTAGAAATTGGAATTCGGTTTGCATAGAAATGCTACAGTAAATTATGAATGGGTTATCTGAACTGATTGTTTTGGTTCTATGTCAGACTGTTGGAGCATGCAGAGACCTTAAATATCACCCAGCCAGTTCCTTCACTTACAACTGCACGGTCTGAAGTTTTCTACCAGCTGGTAAAACTCGAACTAAATCTCAGGTCTGCTCACTCCTGACCTAGTGTGCAGCTACACACCTAATGTCATGCCATCAATGCCGTTACATTTTGTTCATCCTTCTTGACAGATCTAGGAATGTAACTGACAATTTATAACATCGTTTGTATGAAAAATGTATTCTAAGTTCCAAACATCTAATCATTTAAAAAAAATCCATTTGAAATGTAGGCACTTTTTAATAGTTACTATTTTTAAGAAATATCTTAGTTCCCCTTTGAGGCAGTCTTTGACAGCTTTTAATATTATTGCTTCATTGCTTAAACTTTAGACTTCAAATTTAGACATACTATTCTAGTAAAGGTCTGACCCAACCTCTGCTGAAGGCAAGGGAGGAACTGGTCTTGTGTATAAACACACAGACATATTTATATTTGTTTTAGTTGGGAGATGGATAGAGAATAACAATAGCATGCAAATACTGTGCTTAATCAGCTCCCATGCCTTCTAGTTGTGTTTGGTTTATGGTCTGCTATGACCTTCAGGTAATAGTCTGCCATTCATTCCTTTTCAGTTTTTTTAAACAGCTTTATTTAGATTTAGTTCACATACAATTCACCCATTTAAAGTAGTCAATTTAACGTTGAATGTTTTTTTTTGTATATACACAGGGTTGTACGGCAGCCATCACCACAATCAATTTAGGACATTTTCATCACTTCAAAAAAAATCCATACTCATTAGCAGTCACTCCCCATTTCCACCCAGGTTTTTCTGCCTGTCCACCCTCCAGATCTAGGCAACCAATAAGCTGCTTTCTGTCTCTAGATTTGCCGATTGTGGACATTTCATATAAATGGAATGACATAATACGTAGTCTTTTGTGACTGGCTTCTTTTTCCTTAGTGTAATATTTTCAAGGTTCATCCATGTTGTAGCATGTATCAGTACTTAATTTCTTTTTATTGCTGAATAATATTCCTTTATAAGAATATACTATTTTGTTTAGCCATTCATAAATTGATGGATATTTGCATTTTTCCTTTTTGGCTATTATGAATAATATTGCTACAAACATTTATGTACAGTTTTTTAGGTGAACATGATTTCATTTCTCTTGGGTACATACCTAGGAGTGGAATTGCTGGGTTACCTGGTAACTCCATGTTAACATTTTGCAGAACTGCTGAACTTTTCCAATGTGGCTGCACCATTTTACATTCTCACCAGCAATACATGAGGTTTCTAGTTTCTCTACATCCTTATCAACAGCTGTTATTATCTGCCTTTTTGATTATACCCATCCTAAGTGGGTGTGAAGTTGTATTTAAATATATTTTGCATCTCCTTAATGGGAAATGATATTAAACATCTTTCCATGCACTTGTTGGCCATATGTGTGTGTGTGTGTGTGTGTGTGTGTGTGTATTTATGTGTATGTATGTATCTGTGTGTTTTCTTTTTTTTAGAAATGTCTGTTAAATCCTTTGCCCATTTTTCTGCTGGGTTGTCTTTTTAAATTTTGAGTTGTAAGAGTTATTTATATATTCTGGGTACAAGTCCCTGATCAGATAAATGGTTTGGAAATATTTCCTCCCATTCTGAGTTATTCTTTCACTTTCTTGATGGTGTCTTTGAAGCTCAAAAGGTTTTAATTCTAGGTTGCCATTCATTCTCTCTCATTAATTCCTTGAGCTCATGTTTATTGAGCATTGCTGTATGCCAGTCATTGTGACAGGTGTCATCTTGTGGGTTACACCAGATTTGGCTTATTAGGTTTCTGTTATTTACCACTAGGGTGCTGTGTTACCAGGTAAGATATTACTCTTTGCTTTATGTGAAATAAGGGTAAATATGCTGATCCAAGTCAGATGGAAATTTTTTAGGACTAACTAATAATGATAAAGCAGTCTTTTAATGAGTTAAACAGCTGTTCAGCAAATATTTTAGTTCTAAGAAGGAGTTTTAAGGCTCATCTAGGCTCTGCATTAGTGGAAACAAATGGCTCCTAGTCCTAAAGTAATAGGAACAGAATTAGCAACATTTTTGCTCATAACGTTATGGTAGAAATTTTAACAGGCTTTCTGCATCTTCTGCTTGTTAGAGGTTGAATGCATGTTGTCATGAACTGAATTGTAAACTGTGTAATGTTGGTTACAGTTTCATAATAGATCTTTAAATAATCTAGTAAATGGAAAATATGGCGAAGATATGTTTAATAAAACAGGTATATAAACTGAACCTGTTGTGAAACCATGCCTGTTGAAAAAATTGTCTTTTTCCTCAGGTAAAAGATGCCTACTTTCTGCAGCATATGTAGACAGCCACAAATGGGAAGCAAGAGAAAAAGAAGATTGTCACCTTGGTAGGTACTTAACGGGCTATTATGTGGGTCATTTCTAGTCACTCCGTGTTTGTCATCATATATTCGTATGAGATATATGTGAAATGATGCTTTTATGATAATCCAATTCAGATAAGCACATTTTTAAGCCTTAAAAAGAATTAGACTGTTGTTTCACATGTGGCAAAATCATTTTTTCTTTCCTGCAAATTTCTGTTTCATTTTGCCTTCACAGTTAGTCTCCCTGAATTATGTAAACAATTATTTTCTTTCTTGTTTTTTGTTCATTTTTATCATATAGTTAGTTACCATGCAGCCTGACTGTTTTATCTGCAAAATCAATCTTTACTATGATGGTTGCAAAATGATGGTTTTCCAAATTCATTAATACCTCCACATTTACTAATTATTACACAGTATTTACTGTAAGCAAGAACCCTTTTTCTCCCATTTCTTTCTCTATTTATTATCAGTATGATCTTATGGATTCCTCTTTTTTTTTTCCCTTTAATGATTCATTACCATCCTTAGTTATTTGGGTAGTCCAGTTCTCTGAAATTTGGCTAGTAGAAGCATTTCAAGCTGTCTCCCAGTGTTCCATCTTGTACCTTTCTCGCTCTAGCCCTGAAATCAATTACGGTTAGCCCTTAAACAATGGGGGTTAAAGGAGCCCACCCTCAATGCAGTCAAAAATCCACATATAACGTAAAGTTGGTCCTCCGTATATGTGGTTTCTTCCTAGCCAAGTTTCTGCCAACGGATTCAACCAACTGCGGATCATGCATGTAATCCTGTAGTACGCATTTAGTGAAAGAAATTCATGTGTAAATAGACCTGCACAGTTCAAGCCTGTTTTGTTCAAGGGTCAGCTGTATTTCTCCAAGGAGCACTGGTTCCTTTTACTAGGGAGTGGTATTAGAAACCAAGATCTGTGCACTAGGTGTCCCCCTTGCTACTATGGAATTTTTGCTTCTTTGCCAATTCAGTGGACAGAGCTAGGAAAAACATGTATACATGTACACATAAACATACATATGTGCACATACATGCATATAAGCTTATATGTACATAGTTTACAAATTATGAAAAAATCATTCTGAAACCTGCAATTCCAGTTCATCTCTACAGAGTTCTTCCTTGCCTTCCTCTAGTCCATGTTTGTATCTCCCTTCCATACTGAAAACACTGGCTCCCAACAGGGACAGTGTTTTGATGTGTCCATCAGTCTAGGGATTGCAAGTTATGTAATTTTCCTGTCTTCTACCCAGTAAGTGCCAGTAATGGCCTGCAGTCATTTAGACAGTCAAAAAGATACCCCCCTATATTCTAAAATGCCCTTGAGGGCCTTTTGGTACTTCTTTTGGGAACCACTGTTCTAGTGATGAAAGCACAATGGGCTCAGTTAATTATATTGCAGAGCTCGTTCTGATGTGCCATATGTGAATCATAAGAAAAGTGCTATGGAAGTGCAGAAATGAGAACGAAGAATTTCATATAAGTTATTAACACTTTCCTAGGTATGAAGGGAAAATTAGGAAACAAGACCATTATATTTGGTGCCTTGGTATGGGTCATCTCTGTTATTCGGAGACAAACCTAGGGAAAACTGTCATGGATTCCTGAGTGAGCAGATGCTTTTTGCCAAAGAATGAGCATAATCTGCAATGAATAAGTATCACATGGAGGTAACTGTCTCCTCTCTGTTAAGATTAATGTACTTAGAAAAGCAGTATGTACCAGCTACCATTTACTGAATACCACCCTGCTAATAATCCTCTCTGTACATCCTGAGTCCCTGTTGAGTCAGTTGATTTTTTCCTCATCCTATATTCTTACAGCACTTTGTACCTTCATTATGCAGTGTGATGTGGTGAAGAGTCTGCACTTGGAGAGGAAGACAGCTGGCTGTGAACCCCAGCTCTGCCAGCTTTCAGAAACTGTCCCTTAACTCGGTTCCTATATCTATAAATTAGGGATGATAATGCCCGCCCCAGGTAATACCCTGACATATAGTAGGTGCTCCAGAAATATGTGAAAGGAACAAGTCCCTAGGCCCCTTGATTTTACTCATATATAAAACATTAGATTGTGAGGTGAGATGAGGTTTTGAAACTCAAACTGCTTGGAAGAAAAAGAGGCTGTTAGAGACAATATTTTTTTTCTTCTGTGTAAGAGAATGTAATTAAAACTTGCGTTCATACGTGATATTACTGCATGTTTTCCCTAATTCTTATTTGAGCCTTTGGGCTGGGGTATGGGCCCAGAGAATCAGGTAGTACGCCTGGGGCTACATGCGGATGATCGGGCAGTAGATGGCAGTGTGGCCTCTGCGGAGACGCGCGCAGCCGGTGGAGCCCGGCGTTTGGGCGCTGGCCTTGGGAAGCCTGTCCATGCGCGCTTGCGCGGAGGGCTGCCCTCGGCATGTGGAGCAATGTGATTGGGCGCTGTGATCTGGTGCGGGCTTGCTGATTGGGGGAGGGAGGAGGGGGCGATATGAGGCTTTTATTCCGCGCGTCCCCATTGGAGGGCGTGGAGTGGGGTGGAGTGGATCGCGGCTCGGGAGGGACTGTGCCTGGATGTGGGCGTGGGCGTGGGCGTGGGCTTCCCTGGTCTGAAGCGGTTTTGCCTCCATGCGGAATACTGAGGAGGAGACCTGCTGGGTTCTCTCGGATGGTCGTGCTGCTGTGGTGCCTCCTCTGTTCAGTCTCATTAGTGGTTTTCTGTTAGAGCCTTGGCGGAGGGCTGATGGGTATCTACCCAGCTCCCCGTCTGAGAGTAATTTATTACTACGGAGGTCTAGATTAACACCACGAGTGCCGTATACGTATGCTGCAGTCTAGAGGGCAAGCAGGCCATGAATGCAGGCTGGGTCCTCTGACATAGAAGTCAAAAGGCAGCTTTTGTTCACTGCTAGATGTGTGCCCCGGGTCTGTGCTAAGCACTTTCACACACACTGTTACGTTTAATGCTCCACAACAGCGGCCGAGGCAGCTGCTATTTCCCTTAAGAGATGGGAAAAATGAGACCAGATCCAGCATTTGCTTAGGGCCATACAGTATCCTCTTGCCTTTCTGCTCACTAAACTTTCTTAGTGATTGCTGTAGTACCTGTAATTCTACCTTAGTGTCTTCTCTTGCATTGAAGTAGTGGATCTCTTGCTTTTAAAAAATATTTTTTGATTGAAGTATAATATACTGAAAAGTGCACAAATCATAATATGCAGATTGATGAATTATCACAAAGTAAACAAGCCTGTGTAATAGAAGGTTCCTACCACTCCAGAAGCCCTTACTGTGGCTCCCATTACCCTCTTCAAAGGTAACCATTATTCTGACTTCTAGCACTGTAGTGTTTTTTTTTTTAATGTTTTATAATGGAAAATGTACAACATACAAAAGTAGAGTGAATGGTATAAGGAATCTTCTTTACCCATCACCTGGCTTCAACAGTTATCAGCTCCTGGCCAATTTTCATTTCTACTTCTACTTATTTCCCCATCCTGATCCTTTGGATGATTTTGAGGCAGATCACAGACAGTATATCATTTTACCCATAAATATTTCAGTATATACCTCTAAAAGATAAGGATATTTTTAATACCATTTCACATCTAAAATATTAATAATCATTTAAATATGAAATATCAAGTCAGTGTTCAAATTTCCCTGATACTCTGGTAAATTTTTTTTAATGGTTATGCACATAAGGTCCATACAGTGCAGTTGGTTATGTTCCCTTCTTATCTTGCCTCTTTTTAAATCTTTTTTTATGGAAACATACAAAGGTAGAGAGAATAGTATAATGAACCCCCATGGTCTGTCACCCAGCTTCAATGGTTATCAATTCCCTGCCAGTGTTGTTTCATCAAACCCTACCCCATCACCAGGTTACATTTTAACAAATTCTTGTTATCTGATCATTTTATATATATTTTGATACGTATCTCTATAGATAAGGATTTTTTTAAAAACATAACTATAATACCATTCTCATATCTATAAATTAGTAATTCCTTAACATCATTAAATATTTCCTCAATGTTCACATTTCCTCAGATGTCTTATAAATTTCTTTTTAATTTACAGTTTGTTGAAATGGGATCCAGATAAAGTCCATGCATTGTAATATGTTGAGATGACTTTAATCTATAGGTTTCTCTTTCTGTCTTGGCAGTCTATTTGTTGAAGAAAACAGGTCTCTTTTGTAGTTTTCCACATTCTAGATTTGCTGTTTTCATCCTTATGGTGGTGTTTAACATGTTCCTCTACCTTCCATATGTCCTATAAAACTGGCAATTAGAGAGGAAGCCTTGATCAGATTCAGTGGGGTTTTTTGTTTTTTCTTTTGGCATGAGTACTTCATAGGAAGTGTTGTTTACTGTTGTCAAGAGGCACAGAGCATTTGGTTGTCACTGTGATGTTAAAGGCCATTCGTGATCATTGCTTAGATCCATTTTTTTCATTAGGAGCTGCAAAATGTTGCTATCTTAATTATATCATTTCTTTCATTAATTACCCAGAAAATTTTTGTGAAAGAATTTCCTTTCATCAGCGGTTCAGTTATCCTGAGTTATAGTTTGTGTGGAAGAGGCAGCTTCGAAAGTAATAAATTGACCTCCTACCATCCTCCAAAGGTTATCAGTGAGGGTTTTAATTTTTTTTTCTAATATTATGAACTCATGGACTTAACTATTCCAGACATTTTAATTCATTGCAGTTGATATTTTATTGAAAGAGCCGTAGTTCTCCAGCTAGGCTTTGTAGAGCCCTGGGAATTCTTGAGCTTTCCAACTCAAATCAGAAGATTTCAATTTTAGACTGTTTCTGTACTGGGCTTCCCTTTGGTTAAAATAAACACTGAATTAAAGCATTGTCTCTGAAATTCCTGCATTAGCCATGCAGATCTACTGGAGAGATACAGGGTGAAAGTTCGCAGCATTAGCCAGTTAGCAGCTGTTACAGATTAGGGCCCACAGTGAATAGGATTCAGGAGAAAACCATTCTGGGGAACTGGGTAGGGTG